ATACATGTGCCCATCCGGGCTCAAGAAGGGTGCCTCTTTAGTACAAGCTTGGAGTAGTTTCCTCAGAATATTTTCTGGTATGTCAAGAGGAGTACAGGCTGGATCACGATACACTCTGTCGGCTATCATTCCGATTGTCTCGTCCACAGGTACGTTGGTAAACAGCGATTCTACGTCCAACGAGGCTCTGTCCCTGTGGCCCGTGTGCCCCGCAGTAAGTCAACAAATTCCTTTGGAGACTTCAGGCTGAAGGCGCTAGGAACATAAGGAGTCAGCAGGCCGTTGAGTCGCTTCGCCAGTCTGTACGTGGGTGTGGGTATCTGGCTAATGATTGGTCGAAGTGGGTTTCCAGGCTTGTGTGTCTTGACATTTCCATACGCATATCCAGGTTTATATTCCCCAATGATCTTTGGCAGGTGGAGTCCGGATTTCTTGGCGTTCACAGTTTTGATCAGTTTGTTGACCTTTGCTTTTAATTCAGCTGTAGTGTCCTTCATTACCAAAGGGTAATGAAGGACACTACATCTGAATTAAAAGCAAAGGTCAACAAACTGATCGAAACTGTGAACGCCAAGAAATCCGGACTCCACCTGCCAAAGATCATTGGGAAATATAAACCTGGATATGCGTATGGAAATGTCAAGACACACAAGCCTGGAAACCCACTTCGGCCAATCATTAGCCAGATACCCACACCCACGTACAGACTGGCGAAGCGACTCAACGGCCTGCTGACTCCTTATGTTCCTTGCGCCTTCAGCCTGAAGTCTCCAAAGGAATTTGTTGACTTACTGCGGGGCACACGGGCCACAGGGATAAGAGCCTCGTTGGACGTAGAATCGCTGTTTACCAACGTACCTGTGGACGAGACAATCGGAATGATAGCCGACAGAGTGTATCGTGATCCAGCCTGTACTCCTCTTGACATACCAGAAAATATTCTGAGGAAACTACTCCAAGCTTGTACTAAAGAGGCACCCTTCTTGAGCCCGGATGGGCACATGTATAAGCAAGTAGATGGGGTCGCCATGGGTTCTCCCCTAGGTGTCCTGTTTGCAAACTTCTACATGGGTACCATCGAGCAAAAAGTCTTAGTCGACATGAACTTGAAACCGGCCATATACTGCAGGTATGTTGACGACATTTTTACACAGGTACCTGATGTCAGACATCTGCAGGAGCTGAAGGAGGCATTTGAGCAGAGTTCCGTGCTGCGTTTCACTTACGAGATGGAAAAGGATGGGAAGCTGCCCTTTCTAGATGTAACAGTCATGGAAAAGGGCGGAGGTTTCCACACTGCAGTCTACACTAAGGAAACGAACATAGGAATGTGCCTAAATGCCAACAGCGACTGCCCAGACAGGTACAGGAGGAGTGTTGTTAACGCATATGTCGACCGTGCTCTCAGCCACAGCTAAGAATGGAAGCAAGTCGACGAAGAACTCTGCAGGGTAAGGCAAGTCCTAGTCAATAACGGCTTCTCCAATGGTTTCGTCGAAGACATCATAAGAAGGAAAGTGAAAAGCCATGCAACCTCTGAAGAGACAACTAACACAACACCTATACCCCCTATTAGACTATTTTACAGGAACTTCTTTTCCACAGCTCATAAAACGGAGGAAAGGGTCCTGAAAGATATTGTTAATAGAAACGTTATCCCTACAGACAAAAATCAGAGGATACAACTGACGATTTACTATAAAACCAGAAAAACGGCCAGCCTACTCATGAGAAACTCTCCAGACACAAAACAGAACGCTTTAAAAGAGACTAACGTCGTCTATGCCTTTAAATGCCCTCTTGGGGACTGTAAGCTCCAAAAAACCCAGTATATAGGCAAGACAACAACATCTCTTTCTAGGCGTTTAACGATGCATAAGCAACAGGGCTCCATTAAGGAACATATAATCTCTTCCCACAACCAAACCATAGCCAGAGAAATCCTAGTAAACAACACAGAAATCATTGATAGAAACAGCGATAGCAGGCGGCTTGACGTTTGCGAGGCACTACACATCAAGAAGTCAACACCAGCAATCAACAGCCAATTATTGCACAACTATATTCTACCCACCTCTAGACTCCGCTCCAATATAGAAGCATCAAGAAATATGGACCAATAGGCTTTCTACAAACACTTCTATTCAATACCCATTGTTTCGTGTTCTGTCTTGTGTTGATGAAATTAATACCCTATTAATACCACCTCTTGTTCTGTCTTGTGTTGATGAAATTAATACCCTATTAATGCCACCTCTTGTTCTGTCTTGTGTTAATGCCACATCACCCCTTCCACCTCACTCAAATGTAGATATAAAATCGGAGATGCGTAAGTTCTATTCAGTTGTGTATTTGTGAACTTAAGTCTTTGAAAATGTAATAAGTTTTACGAAACGCGCTCGTGTCGCGTCAGACTAGAAATAAAAATGAATTTTGGAGAATTGATTTTTGATTTACCTCCAACCGTGAACAGAAATGTACGAAAGATTGAGAAAATTCGTGTTAGAATTATTAATCTTACTTTTTCGGTCATATTTAATAATATATATATATATATATATATATATATATATATATATATATATATATATATATATATATATATATATATATATATATATATATATATATATATATATATATATATATATATATATATATATATATATATATATATATATATATATATATATATATATATATATATATATACTCAAACAATAATAGACCCCTCAGTAATTTTGATACTGTTTTCAAAGGCATAAAATTTCAGCCAGTGCTCTTGTGGAATAAAAATATCACACATACCAAATAGTGTTTGTCATATTCGTAAGTTCAAGGTTCGAACCCATCCCAGTTGAAAATAACGACATTAAAGTCTAAATGTTTCTCCATAGTGAAAACGATTTTCCTGGTTTTCCTTTTTCTTCGTGGTCTTAATTACATACATTTATGTAAAAAAAACTGTCAGAGATCCCACCATCATCGTTCCTCATGATATTATTCATCTTATAAGAAAAATATATATTTTCATCTTATCTTGAGGTTATCTTGAGATGATTTCAGGGCTTTAGTGTCCCCGCGGCCCGGTCCTCGATCAGGCCTCCACCACCAGGAAGCAGTCCGTGACAGTTGACTAACACCCGGGTACTTTACTGTTAGGTAACAGGGGCATAATGTGAAAAGAACTCTGCCCATTGTTTCTCGCTGGCGCCCGGGATCGAACCCGGGACCACAGGATCACAAGTCCAGTGTGCTGTCCGCTCGGCCGACCGGCTCCCATTTATATATATTGATATTGATATATAATTTATTTATTTACACTATACAAACTCCATATGGCTCAGTATGATTTTTAAGCTTGCAAGACTCACATGCCTTGAAGCGAAATATAAATACCCTTGAGAATGATGGTTTCCTCAGCATTTCAACCACTACCATCAATTACCTTCTTCCCAACAAAGGGTGTCTGCGAGTAATCACAGATTTAATTTAGTGACGATGTTAACACACCTGAAATATTTGTGTCTATTTGTCTTACCCAATTGTATTCATTGGATTTTTCTTTATTGAGACAACTCGAATTTAATTTTAATTTTCAATGTAATTCCACTAGCTACTGGTGGTTTTCAGCTTTTAAACTACTAACATCACCAGCCATATTTGTATTGTATTTAAATTTTACATCTCTTTGAATATCATTGATTTTGAAAGATATGTAAATATTGAAATAGATGTTACATGTCTTTCAATATTTGTTCATTTCCTAGCATCAATGATATGAAAACAAATTATCAGCAGCCCGTCCTTACAAATATTAGCTGAAACGTCGTTATTCAGCAGCCACGCCCCTCGTTAATGTTTGAAAAAGCCCCATTGTTTATGAATGAAAACCATTTTCCTCACGGCTCACGACCAGTTACGTTTCAACTTCTGTTGAAGAATGCTCTGAATGGAACCACTCTGAAGGCTTCGACCACGTGCTGAAAAATGCAAATAATTGACAACAGAACCAAAACACAGAGCCTAACCTTCCCTAGGTGTAACTATTCACAAACTAATAATATACAAAAATATTTATTTATGTTCGGCAAAATACCGTTTTTGGTTACAATGTTTAAGCTGACAATTACATCTTTGGAGTCGGCTTCAACTTGAACGATCATAACCTGACGCTGGGTTGGTCTTTTATCGACTTAAATGGATTTGCAATGTCAGTATATTGTGTATACTCCTAACAGTATAGTGTTATAATACGCTAAATATAGTGTAAACACTAATACACTGTAAGCCCGAAGCCCTTTAGTATTGATGATGAAGCGATCAGTGATGTGATGATAAGAAGCTCAACATGGCTTCGCATGACTTTGTACCTCTAAGCCACTTCGGATCCCAAAGACACATTTGTAACACTTAATATAATGTTTAACCAAAACTGGCCTTTTCTCGGAGTATAAATAAATATTTATGTTTCTTATAATTTTGTTTAGTTGGGCTAAGGAAAGATGCAAGAAAACAATGATGACATTTAACTCAAACCAAGCAACAGTACACACAGAAATCACAATAGCGTGATGCATCAAATGAACAAATCCACAAGGGCGTCTCTGAGAGACTGCAGGATCTGTGGTAGATCAAGTTGATTTCCCGGTTGCAATTCTTATCCATGTCGTAGCTCAGTCGATTAAGGTGCGTCTGGGATCCTCTCTGATGAAGGTTCGAACCCTTGTCATGGCCCTTGAGGATTTGTCCAAGCAACAGTGACATCACTAATATCTCAAACAATTAGGAATTTTACATTGCACTGTAATTGCAACCCAGACAACGAATGGTAAAATTAACGGAGTAACTATTAGCGAGAAGTATAATTGTTTAGAGAGCTTCCAAGTAGTACACAAAGGGTCGAGTGACCCTGAAACACCAGCGTATGCTTCACCGCCAAGCTGGACGGGATATAAGTACTCAGGTTCGAACCCCTCAACCACCAGTCATCACCAAGACGCTCCAGACACTACTGCAGATATGGTCAGTCTTTCTCCTTTTCAGGTTAATAGTATATTGTGTTTACAATCGTCTACCCTAATGTCTGTTACCCAGAGTTATGGTTTCTCCTGACGAATAATCCTCTCATTTGCTATTCAATCCATGTTCAATGTTTTTTATGTTCAAATTTTTCCAGTAAATATTTTTTGAATTGCCCCAAATCAACAAGGCTAGCTTTGAGTTTAAAGGTTATTCTTCGTGCTTGGAACTTAAATACTTCAGTCGCAGTCACTATATTTATTAATATGTTTGTTGTAATTGATATAGCACATGCACACCTTTTTACATTTTAAAGGAAATAGTTATTAAATACAAATATGTATCATATATTATATTATTATTGATTTTGCTTTTCCAGGCGCTGATGTTGATGACCGCATGCGCTGCTCTCCTTGACCTATGCGCCGCACAAGGCGTCGCCCCCAGTTTTGGCCTCACTGGTGCAGGGACATTTCCCCAAGATGCCGGAAGATTTCCTCAAGATACCGGGAGATTTCCCCAAGATGCCGGGAGATTTCCCCAAGATGCCGGGAGATTTCCCCAAGATGCCGGAAGATTTCCCCAAGATGCTTTTGGTGCATCTGGTGATGGACCAAGATTCTTTACTAGTGGTATATCAACAAATCAAAACCCTGGATCTCTCTCCAATCCTGGTGTAGGAAGTGTTGTTAATCCCTTTGCTAATGACTTCGGCCGGGGTCCTACTAGAACCTTTGGGGGAAATAATTTTGCCGATGGTTCCTTTGGAGTTAATGGTCGTTTACCGAGTAGTTTCTTGGGCTCCACGGACAGTGTAATTGGGTCTTTGGGTGGCTTCGGCGGACCTGTTGATTCCTTTGACAGCTCGTTCGGTAGCCCCTTTGGCACAGGATCTCTTATTCCGTTCTTAAATGGCTTAGTCAGAGATCCTGTTAGTTCCTTTGGCGGCAATGGTGGTGGTTCCATCGACAGCTTATCTGGTCTTAATGGCCGCTTTCCAGGTTTATTTCTCGTCTCCGAGGACGATTTTGGAGGCTCTTTTGGTGACTCTCGTGGCTCTGTTGGGCCCTTTGGCAGCCCTCTGGATGGAATTTTAGGGTTCAACAACAACTTCGATGCCTCTTTTGGAGTTCCAAGTGCGTTCGTCGGTAATCATGGAGGTTTCTTCGTACCCATAGTAACTCCGGCGGGAGCTTTCCTAGTTCCATCATCCTTGTTTACATCTTCCTAACTAGCGGTGTAGGTTAGTGTTACTGGAAGTTGCGCTTCCAGTCATAGCAGACATCTAGGCGTCCTTGATGTACGGGCCAGCCGAGGCTCCGAGGCGTCCGTGATACGGATACTGTCAAATTATTTATTCAGCTCAACCCACGTGACTTCTTCCATCTTCAATGGAAAAGTGAATGGCGTAACTGAATTAATCACTACATAACATTTATAAATATATTTACATAAACAGATTTATTTTATTTATTTCCCAACTCGACAGTATAATATAAGTATAATTCGGCACCATAAAATTTTAAATATATTTAAACTTCGAAATTTATTAATAGTTATTCGAAAGTTATTTTTAAATATGTCTATAAACTTCTAAATATTAATAAAAAATATAATAAAGTAAATACTTTTTTATTAATATTCTGGTCAATATGTTTGAAAAATATAATAAATGTTGAAAAAACTTGCCTTTATTTTATATAACATCTTTTTCTGTTACAAAATATAAATAAAATATTAATGTTAAATTCCCCACAGGATGTTGTTTTGTGTATGTGTTTTATTTTGATGTGTTTGTGAATGTTAATGTATTTTTCTGCATCTGCTGTGAGGAACACAAATGCGAACCAGACTGAATGGTCCCCAGGCATACATGCAACTGAAAACTCACACCCCAGAAGTGACTCGAACCCATACTGTCAGAAGCAATCTGCAACTGATGTACAGGATCCCTTAGCTACTCGACCATCACGACCGGACAAAAGAGGATGGTAGCCGAGGCTAATTCCCCATCCTCCCGCCGGCACTCTGATGGTAATCTTGGGCATGGTATTTTATCAAATTACCTCATTCTTTGGGGCACACATGAGGAACATAAATGCGAACCGGTCGTGAGGGTCGATTTGTTAAGGGATCCTGTACATCAGTTGCAGATTGCTTCTGGCAGTATGGGTTCGAGTCACTTCTGGGGTGTGAGTTTTCAGTTGCATATATGCCTGGAGACCGTTCAGGCTTGTTCGCATTTGTGTTCCTCACGTGTGCCCCAAAGAATTAGGTGAGTTGATAAAATACCATGCCCAAGATTACCATCAGAGTTAGATTGATCGAAACTGTGAACGCCAAGAAATCCGAACTCCACCTGCCAAAGGTTATTGGGGAATACAAACCTGGGTATGCGTATGGAAATGTCAAGACACACAAGCCTGGAAACCCACTTTGGCCAATCATCAGCCAGATACCCACACCCACGTTCAGACTGGCGAAGCAACTCAACGGCTTGCTGACTCCTTATGTACCTTGTGCTTTCAGCCTGAAGTCTCCAAAGGAATTTGTTGACTTACTGCGGGGAACACGGGCCACAGGAATAAGAGCCTCGTTGGACGTAGAATCACTGTTTACCAACGTACCTGTGGATGAAACAATCGGGATGATAGCGGACAGAGTGTATCGTGATCCGGCCTGTACTCCTCGTGACATACCAGAAAACATTCTAAGGAAACTACTCCAAGCTTGTACTAAAGAGGCACCCTTCTTGAGCCCGGATGGGCACATGTATAAGCAAGTAGATGGGGTCGCCATGGGATCTCCCCTAGGTGTCCTGTTTGCGAACTTCTACATGGGTACCATCGAACAGAAGGTCTTAGTTGACATGAACTTGAAACCTGCCATGTACTGCAGGTATGTTGATGACATTTTTACACAGGTACCTGATGTCAGACATCTGCAGGAGCTGAAGGAGGCATTCGAGCAGAATTCTGTGTTAAGTTTCACTTACGAGATGGAGAAGGATGGGAAGCTGCTCTTTCTAGATGTAACAGTCACGGAAAGGAGCGAAGGCTTCCACACTGCAGTCTACACTAAGGAAACAAACATAGGAATGTGCCTCAATGCCAATAGCGACTGCCGAGACAGGTACAAGAGGAGTGTTGTCAATGTTTACGTCGACCGTGCTCTCAGCCACAGCTCAGGATGGAAGCAAGTCGATGAAGAACTCTATAGGATAAGGCAAGTCTTAGTTAACAACGGCTTCTCTAATGGTTTTGTTGAAGATATCATAAGAATAAAGGTAAAAGGCCATGCAACCTCTGAAGAGTCAACTAACACAACACATTTACCCCTTATTAGACTATTTTACAGGAACTTCTTCTCGACAGCTCATAAAACGGAGGAAAGGGTCCTGATGCTTTCTTTTGTAGTTGGGGCTGCTATTTACTATTTCTGTTAATCGAAGGAGTTGCTATTATTGCTTATATTGATGGTGGGAGTCTTTATTATTGCTTCTAGTAATGGAGTGAGCTGCTAATAATAGCATTGCCTATATTGATAGAGTAATATCCATGCTTCCGCCAGTTGTTGTTGTCTGTCTTTCTCAGGTCTGATGGTACACCAGTTCCAGACTCCCAGTCACACGTGAACCAAGGATCGAGATCAGCAGGTCTGGGGATGACCCACCTGTCTGATAAGATCTGGGTCTGAGGTACGTTACATAAAGTCCTCCCCCTTGTGACCGGTAACTCGCCAATTAGTTACCCGGAAGGGGTGGCTGGAGTACAGTCACCGGGCCGACACCTCATGTCACTAACGAGGTTGTCCTCGTCTAGTATGATGTCCTCACGAAGCAGAGTCCAGAGTGAACGTCACATCACCGTGGGCAAGCTGTCTCAAGGTCACCAACCAAGCCCACCAGCCGCGTAGTCAAGATTGCGGGAAACCCAGAATTGGAAGACGAGTGGTCTACGAAGAAGTACGCTAATTCAAACGATTCGTCAGCTCTCTCAAAACTTGCGGTTGCGTCGTCTGTGGAAACCAAGATGCAACGCGGTGGTCCCGGGTATGAACAGCACTGCCCCTACAGAGTGCTGCTGAATTGCCAGATGAGGTACAATCCTGTACTTCGGCCCAAGTTTAGCAGCACGAGGGAGTTGCATGGAAGGTGTATCGGCCCAGTAGTACCGGGATAACAAGTAAACGCCTGGAGATGACGTCGCCCAGAAGCTGAGCCAAAGCCCACCTGTCCTGTCACCATGCCATCCTCTTCAAAGTCACTCGAAACCCACTCCCAACGCGAGACATCGTGACACGTCTAAAGCTCTGCTCTACTGTGGCAGCCAGGGTTAACGACCTTCTATCGTGACTGTTTGGGGAGCGATAAGTAGAGTTGAGCCTGGGTTCCTGTTAGCGTGGTTCACCTGAGCCGACAGCCGTTAGCTGTCAGCTGTCACTCAGTGCTCAGTCAGGTGCGGGTAGTACGAGAACCCCTGTACTGTCCGTAATTTGGCCGAGGTCATAAATGGAACTTCCAGATGACCAGGATCTTCAAGCAACAGGAGGTAGTCGCCGGAATCTACAGCTCAAAGAAATGTCACCAAGAGAGAACTAAAGAAAATCTTAATAGAAAAAGTTTAATATAAAATAAATTGTGTTAAAATTTAAATTGGGTTACCTCGGAACAGTTAGTTCAACTTTTAATTTTCCATCTGGTAGTAAAATATCTGAACACCTTAGGAAAGTGACTCTGGAACAGCAGTAAATGTTGAAAACTAGAATTATTGGTGAAATAGAGAAATAAATCGAGAAAGTGAACATCTAGAAAATTGTTACTAGAAAATTGCCCTGTTTCAAGATAAGTTTGTTATGATTAAACTGGTTTGGGAACCATCTAGTAGGTTCTCTAGAAATGTGGATCAGTGGGGAACTTTATCTAGATTTTTGCTAGATCCTAGAAACTGATTATATATATATTTTTTTGTGGATTACTTATTGAACAACGTGGTGTTGTACACAGTCTGAGCAATGTGTTCACTCGCTGTGCAGTGGATTGTGTAAGAACTCTGGGATATTAGTAGTTTTAGAATCTTATATCCAGTGGATTTTGAATAGGTTAGGAGACATTGATTTTTTTAAATAAAAAATCTTTTGTGTATTTTTCATTAAATTTTAAGGATCCAGAGATATGCTGTGGTGGGCACTTGCCACATCTGTGGAGTGGAACACTAGGACCTTGAGAGGTAGTGTTCCTCTATTTGAATATTTTTGTTTTTGACAATGTTTAATTATTTTTTTTATTATTATTATTTTAATGTTTCTATTTTTATGTGAAGTGTTGTGTTTGATTTTGATTCCTAAAGGAATACTTTGATAGCTGAGGGCTATCCATTGGTTTAGCTAGTTGTAAATTGATAGGTATGAATTTTTACAGTTGATTTTTGCTATATCAGGACAGGTATAGGATGTTTTGTCTTCCAGGTTGTTGGAAGGAATGCGAGGCTGCATCCAAGTTGGACAGCAGGGATCATAGGGATGGTCTCCGTCCTCATTTATTTTTTAAGTATTATTGTTGTTGTTTTGTTTTATGTTATGTGTTATATATTCATACATGATGGGGTCACACCTTTTGGGAGTGCAATTACTGTGATTGGAGAGTGTATGGAATTAGTTGGGAATAGTTAATTTCTTTTGTTTTTGAGGCATTGGGTCAATATTGTTGGGTTGATAGGGATAAATTTTTAACACGGGTGGTACGCGAACAAGGAGACACAGGTGGAGACTGAGTACCCAAATGAGCCACAGGGACGTTAGAAAGAACTTTTTCAGTGTCAGAGTAGTTAACAAGTGGAATGCACTAGGCAGTGATGTGGTGGAGGCTGACTCCATACACAGATTCAAATGTAGATACGATAGAGCCCAATAAGCTCAGGAATCTGTACATCAGTTGATTGACGGTTGAGAGGCGGGACCAAAGAGCCAGAGCTCAACCCCTGCAAGAACAACTAGGTGAGTACAACTAGATGAGTACACACAAACACACACGCGCGCGCGCACACTCACTCCATGGCGCTGGTGACTGAGTGGACTGCACTCTGGATACGTAGTCCTTTGGGCCGGGGTTCGATTCCCGGCGCCGGCGGAAACAAATGGGCAGAGTTTCTTTCACCCTGATACCCCCTGTTACCTAGCAGTAAATAGGTACCTGGGAGTTAGACAGCTGTCATGGGTGTGTGTGTGTGTGTGTGTGTGTGTGTGTGTGTGTGTGTGTGTGTGTGTGTGTGTGTGTGTGTGTGTGTGTGTGTGTGTGTGTGTGTGTGTGTGTGTGTGTGTGTGTGGAAAAAAAATGATTGATTGATAGTTGAGAGGCGGGCCAAAAGAGCCAGAGCTCAACCCTCACAAGCACAATTAGGTGAATACTTACAGTTAAAGTGTTACAACACATCTGTATATAAAACATTATTAAAATCCAAGAATATTTTGTTTAGCACAAGTGAATATAAATATTTTGATAATGTTTATTTTATCAAATTGATAAATATGTGTTTTTAACATATTAACAATTTTATATATTTTTAATTTGTTAAAAAAATATTTTTTTTATTTTACTGAAACATGATAAACTATATGAACAGCAGTTATATCCATAATTGCCGAATGGGGAAATAAAAATATTATGTATGATATTTATGATTTATTTATTTATAAATATTACATAGCGACTAATTATATTTTTAATTATTTTATTTCATTTTGTGAATTACATGTTGTGGTTCTCAACGCGAATTATTTAATGTTGCCGTCGTTGTTCGGGCGGCACCAGTCACTGTCAAGTGTGGATACCTCAAAACTTCCTCTATACAACATCCGTAGTTACCTATATAAACAGTACCATAAGTGAAGTTTAAGCCAGAGCCGCCGACGGAATCAGAATCACTCCCGACGGTGTTTCAAATGCTATAAAATGGCCATTACCGACGGTCGTCCTTGGCAATCCAGACGAGACTGGAAGATTGCTGACGAAGCCTTCAGAGCCGCGAAGACCACCGAAGGAGCCACCTGGGCCGTTCAAAGAGGAGACGAATCCCCCAAGTAAGGGGATGTTATTACCAGAAAACGTCTCAAATGAATTATCATTGATGCCGAAACTGGGAGCCACGCCGAAGCCATTGATGAAAGGATTTAAATGATTAGGAAGAGTCCCATCCTCAAAAAAGCCGCCGAATGAGCCACTAAGACCGTCCGAGAAATCTAAGAAACTACCTGGTAAACGACCATTAAAATCTAGTGAACCATCGCGGAAATTATCATTGCTCCCAAAGAAGTTAACAGGACCTCTCCCAAAATCACTTGTAAAGGGACTGAGAGCGCCTCCGGCGCCAGGATTCGCGAAAATTCCAAGCGCTCCATTTGAAAAGTCCCGGAAGGAATTCTCACTGATAGGTTTACCGAGGACACCAAGCAAAATGCCCGCATGATCTTGATTTGCAGAAAAGCCACTGGATAAGAATTTTTGTTCTTTATCAGATACACCAAAAATATCTTGAGGTAATCCTCCAGCGAAGCCAAGACTTGAGACGACGCCTTGTGCGGTGCTTGAGCCAAGGAGAGCAGCCCAAGCTGTCATCAACAGCAGCGCCTGGCAAAGAAAAAATACAAAATGAAAAATCTAAAAATTAATTATTCTAAAAAGAAACAACAAATGTTTACTATATAGGAGACAGACTCTAAATTGCAGCCGATGAGTCACAATAACGTGGCTGAAGTATGTTGACCAAACCACACACTAGAAGTTGAAGGGACGACGACGTTTCGGTCCGTCCTGGACCATTCTTAAGTCGATTGTGAAGAGGAGATTGATTGATTGATAGGTAGAGACAGGCAATAAATAGGCAAGAGAGAGCTGAGGAGGAAAGTAAGGTGTATTATTACTACTATCCCCTACACCTTACTTTCCTCCTCAGCTCTCTCTTGCCTATTTATTGCCTGTCTCTACCTCCTCTTCACAATCGAATTGAGAAGAGCCTCGTTGGACGGACCGAAACGTCGTCGTCCCTTCAACTTCTAGTGTGTGGTCTGGTCAACAGACTTTAAATTATTATGTATGAAACTGACCATGATTGGTGTAGGGACTTTAGGGATGAATTCCGCTGATGTCTGTCTCTGGAGAGTCCTGCCTGATCTTAGATATCCGGACCGGCTGTGTGGTGATGACTGCTGTAGAAGGGTCCAGCCTGATCCTTTATATCCCGTCCAGCTCTGTGGTGATGCACACACTGACGTCCCAAGGTCACTGGATCTTTGTGTAGTACCTCGACAATTCTGCTTCTTACTAATAGTCTCCATGTTAATTGCGACATTCCTTGTCTGGGTAATTATTTTCTAACCATTGTGGTATTTCAAGCTTTGGTGGCAGTAAATGGTAAAATATGGTTTGTTCATACTAGTGCTGAGGATTGTTGTAGATGACATTGTTTCTGTAGCTATATATAAAACAAATTTATTATTGTAAAATGTGTTGGATTTACATCTAGAGTTATGAATAAAAAATTTTAATTGTTGTCGATACGAGATGGTGATGTTTGATGTTAATGTTTTGTTCATGGTCGCCTTTAATGGGTTTTGAAAGACATAAATAAGAGATTTAACACTAATTTTATAACTACCAATGGTTTTTTTTTTTACTGTCTAATAATGGTAGTGTTGCTTTTGAAGTTGAACGTCCTGATGATTAGTAAGGATAAATGAAACAGATTTCTCTTTCACTAGTGATGGTGAGCATTTACTTGAATGTTGATGGATGAGAAAGGGTGCATTTAAACGGGGGTCCTATGTATGACCCAACAAGGCAGGTACGGTTCAAATAAGTCTTATGTTCCTGTGTTGTTGTATACCTGGTTGATACCTGGTTGATGGGGTTCTGGGAGTTCTTCTACTCCCCAAGCCCGGCCCGAGGCCAGGCTTGACTTGTGAGAGTTTGGTCCACCAGGCCGTTGCTTGGAGCGGCCCGCAGGCCCACATACCCACCACAGCCCGGTTGGTCCGGCACTCCTTGGAGGAATAAATCTAGTTTCCTCTTGAAGATGTCCTCGGTTGTTCCGGTAATATTTCTTATGCTTGCTGGGAGGACGTTGAACAACCGCGGTCCTCTGATGTTTATACAGTGTTCTCTGATTGTGCCTAGTCACTCACTTGTTTTAATAGATATGTGCCAATGTATGGAGGCAGATATGGTAATTTATTAACAATCTTGTTAGAGTAATTGTTAAGTTTTTGTTTATATTTGTCACCAGTTGTGAGCAAGTTGATCTTGTCACTGTCATGACGTAAACTGCACTACACTTGAATTCAAGTTTTTTTTTGTTTGAATGACCCGAACTATTTATTATTATTCAATATTATGTAGGTCAGAGCATCAGAAGGGTCGAACCTAAGCATTACCTATAGTATGTAAATTTTGGATACTTCGCTAAGATTCCGGGCAGCACATTTTTTATTTATATATATATACAAGAAGGTACATTGGGTTTGTGAGAATACATTGGATAGTACAGTATTTATACTCTTGTAAAGCCACTAGTACGCGCAGGAGCATCATTATAAATGAAGTACTTACACATTTCTCGGGCTCCATTGATGGTATTATCTCTGAATTCCGCGATTTTTTCACATTCCATTATATAATGATGCAAAGCATGCGAATAGTTCTGTTGACAGAGTTTATATGTAGTCAAATCTACATCAGCAGATGTTACAAACTCCCAGAGGCACTTGTAGCCGAGCCTAAGCCTAGCAGTGGTAACATCTAGACGTCTGCTAACCGTATTAGATGAACCATAGACGTGCGGTTCTTCCTGCATAATAGAATGATAAAAGATCGAGCAACGTTTGTGAATTTCACTTTGCCTCAAGTCTGCGAGATTTTGTTGATGCTCCCGGAATATTACTGCCCTCGGGCTGCTCAAAGGCAACCACAATGGTAATCAGTTCCATTTAAATGAGCAAAAGCTTTGGCTAACTCATCATTTCTATCATGCATTCGGAGACCAATATGGGAAGGAATCCACAGGTGACATACTCTGACTCCATCATTGATTATTTCATTATATATGTGTCTAGCTTCAGACACAAGACATTGTTCTAAAAATTCGGTCGTTGAAATTATGGAATAAGTTGTCAAGCAACATAATAGGCTTGGATTCGCTGTATTGCTCCTAGCGAAGGTTAGCCATGTAAGAAAATGAGTGTGAGTGTAAGTGGGTGTAAATAAGTGTAAGTCGGTGTAAGAGAGTGTAAGTGCGGTCGTATATATGCAGGATCTGCCACTCATGGTCTAAAAAAGCCCCTGTGCAGTTTAATCTTATCTCTTTTTGTTATAATGAGTTTATGTTCTTAAGTTCGTGAAAGCACACAATAAACAAGTCTCGAAAATCATGAAGACAATTGATATGTGGAAAAAAACATGATAATGAATCGTTTTCTTCACCATTAGCGCCATAAATGTTTTTGGGAAAGTCTTCCACCTGTCGAAATTAGAAGGGCGCAAGATCTGGAGAGCAAGGAGACCAGCTTCTTAAGAAGTAAAAGCCAAAAGTAATATCAAATGTTGTACTCAAATGCTCAGTAATATTTTAATTGGACATACCACTTATGTTCTCAAATATCCACTCGACAAACTTTCGTAGAAATAAGGAGAATGTGTTACAAATATATTTAAAGATTGAAAGAAAATAATATTAGTATATTCAGAGTAATTCTGGTTAATAAAGATTGGAAAGAAAGAATTTTGACTATCAGAACGTCAATGGACACGCTGAACAGAAGACAGTCTTGAAGCGGGTTATCTAACCCAAAGCATTCAACCCCAAACATCCCACCTAACCTTGGATACCAGCGCCCATTATCTCGAGGAAACGCCAGGATTGTGGTGATCCTTATTTCACAAATGCACCGGAATATTAATATTGTGGTCGATAGCGACCACATTAGTTGTGAGGACACGCTGCGGTGATGACGCCTGCGGGAGGGTCCTGGTTCTCTGCACGTCGTCCACCTCAACACTGATGCACATACGCAGGCATCCCAAGGCCCCAGAACCCTTTGTGCAGTACCTTGTAAGTCTCCTGATAATTACGTTTATAGCTAAAAGTTACGACGGTAATTCTTCCAGTCCCTTTGTGGGTGGGTTTGGTTCTCCCCTCTGTACGGTATACCAAGTTTTGTAATGTTTTTTTAGTTAGATGTTGTTGTAGTTGCCATTGATGTAGTTGATGTTATTTTGTATACTAACGGAGGGAGTTTATATTTTTCTTTCTTCTATTGGAGGGAGTTCTATTGCTTCTACTAATGGAGGGAGTATATACTATTGCGTCTACTGATAGAGGGAGTTCATACTATTGCTTCCACTAATGGAGGGAGTTCATTCTATTGCTTCTACTAATGGAGGGAGTATATACTATTGCGTCTACTGATAGAGGGAGTTCATACTATTGCTTCCACTAATGGAGGGAGTTCATTCTATTGCTTCTACTAATGGAGGAGTTCATACTATTGCTTCCACTAATGGAGGGAGTTCATTCTATTGCTTCTACTAATGGAGGGAGTATATACTATTGCGTCTACTGATAGAGGGAGTTCATACTATTGCTTCCACTAATGGAGGGAGTTCATTCTATTGCTTCTACTAATGGAGGAGTTCATACTATTGCTTCCACTAATGGAGGGAGTTCATTCTATTGCTTCTACTAATGGAGGGAGTATATACTATTGCTTCTACTAATGGAGGGAGTATATACTATTGCTTCCACTAATGGAGGGAGTTCATACTATTGATTCTACTAATGGAGGGAGTTCATACTATTGCTTCCACTAATGGAGGGAGTTCATTCTATTGCTTCTACTAATGGAGGGAGTATATACTATTGCGTCTACTGATAGAGGGAGTTCATACTATTGCTTCCACTAATGGAGGGAGTTCATTCTATTGCTTCTACTAATGGAGGAGTTCATACTATTGCTTCCACTAATGGAGGGAGTTCATTCTATTGCTTCTACTAATGGAGGGAGTATATACTATTGCGTCTACTGATAGAGGGAGTTCATACTATTGCTTGCACTGATTAAGGGAGTTCATACTATTGCTTCTACTGATGGAAGGAGTTCATATCACGTTTCAGTTACGTTCAATGAGACATTTGAATTTGGATTTGGCTTCAGGAGGTACGTGGGAGATGAAGGTCCTGAAGTGTGGCGTCTGAGAGCTGTGGTTGTTCGTGTCTTGAGGCAAAATCAATATTGGTAACATTTATGCGTCTTACGCATCAATAATATATTGAAATCATTTAACAAATGTTGATTAAACTAATCCTTCACAAACAGACTTTTGCAAACTATATCATTTATGAATTAACATAGGCTCAATTCAACAATTGTTATAAAACAAATGAATTAAAACATATTTCATGAATTTATACTCATTTGCAGACGATGAGTCACAATAACCTGGCTGAAGATATGATGACCAAATCATGCATAAGAAAGTGAAGACAGTTTTTTTTACCATTATCTTACCTACTCCTCAACTCTCTTCTCACTCTCGTACCTTACATACTTATCTATACCTTCCTCTCTTCTATCTTACGACTTCATAATGGTCCAGGACGGACCGAAACGTCTTCGTGTCTCCATTTTCTGATGTGTGGTCTGGTCATCAGTAATCATTAGAATAATTCATTCCGGAATTGCCAGTTTAATGATATTCTTCATGAATTGATATTTGAAGAAATATATATATTTTTTTTAGATTTTGACAAGCATTGTGATGCTATTGTTAATTCCTATTAGAGAATTATATTTTTAGTTCCTATTCTAATAGGAACTAAAATATACTAAAATATAATTCTCTAGAATTATATTTTTAGTTCCTATTAGAGAATGCTATTTTCAGTTCCTATTAGAAAATGTTACTTTTGATTCCCATTAGAGAAGCGTCAGAAAATGAGAATTACTAATGCATGTGTTTTAATTTACTTATTTAATAGAATATATTTTAATTAAAATAAAGTTCACATAATTACCTTTTTCACCCAAAAATCATATATGATGATATATGTTGTAACAGCTTTTGTGTGTTCCTTTTGCTATATTTTATATTTGCATGATGGTATGCATATATTATATGCTAATAATTTATTATACTCTACATATATAGTATTATCTACTAGTATAATAATGTGTTATATAAATTTATTGTGAAATACAACACGTACCCCAGCAATGTAATGTCTCTCATACAGCGTCATACTGCCTCTCATACAAACACACACACATACTGCCTCTCATACAAGCACACACACATACTGCCTCTCATACACGGATACTCGCCGACGAAGCCTTACAATGCTTGCGTATAAACAAAATGCTACAATTTATTATTAATGTGTTTTAGATAGACAAGCAAATTTAAATGTTTTGGAATAAAATTATTGTTTTCAACAAAACTTCTGTTCTTGTTAACAAGTATATATGAACAAAATTGAACATATGGTAACTAATAAGGTGATCAATAAATAATTATTTTAAATATCTTACTTTGCTGAAACACACGAAAATATATGAAACATACATATATCCATTCCATCAGTAGGAAAAATAAAATATTGAAAATTAAAATGATGATTTATTTATAAATATTTTGAAACGACTAATTATATTTTCAGTTGTTAATGAATATAAAAAAAAATGAGAATTGCATGTTGTGGTTCCCGACGGGAATTATTTCATGTTGCCGAAGTTCTTCGGGTGGCACCGGCCACTGTCAAGTGTGGATACTCCATGACTACCTCTATACAATATCCGTAGTTACCTATATAGATAATGCTATAGGTTTTAAGTTTAAGTCAGAGCCGCCGACGGAATCAAAATCACTCCCGACGGAGATTCAAATGCTATAAAATGGTCATTACCGACGGACGTCCTTGGAAAGTCAGACGAGACTCTAAGATTGCTGACGAAGCCTTCAGAGCCGCGAAGACCACCGAAGGAGCCACCTGGGCCGTTCAAAGAGGAGACGAATCCCCCAAGTAAGGGGATGTTATTACCAGAAAACGTCTCAAAGGAATTATCATTGATGCCGAAGTCATTGACGAAATTATTAAAAGGGTCAGAAAGGGACTCACTGTCAAAGGAGAAACCCAAGGTATTACCAAGACCGCCAGAGAAGTCCAAGAAACTACCTGGTAAATCACCATTAAACTCAAAAGTATCCTCGATGAAATCGTCATTGCCCCCAAAGAAGATATCAGGGCCTCTACTAAAGTCGCTTACAAACGGGTTAATAGCGCCTCCAAAACCAGGATCCCTCAAAACATCGCCATTTGAAAAATCCCCGAAGGAGTTTTCGCTAAAAAGTTTTCCGAGGAAACCTCGTAAGAGGCCTGAGGGTTGTTGGCTTGGAGACTGGCCACTTGTTAAGAATTTTTGTTCCTTAGCAGAAACACCAAAAATGTCTTGAGGTAATCCTCCAGCGAAGCCAAGACTCGAAGAGATGCCTTGAGCGGTGGAGGAGACGAGAAGAGCAGCCCACGTGGTCATCATTAGCAGTGTCTAGGGAGAAAAAATAAGAATATATATAATAAAATAATATATATATATATAATATATATTATATATAATAATATATATATTATATAGAAAATAATATATATATATATATATATATATTAATAATAATAATATATATATATAAAGCAAATATATATATATATATATATATATATATATATATATATATATATATATATATATATATATATATATATATATATATATATATATATATATATATATATATATATGTCGTACCTAATAGCCAGAACGCACTTCTCAGCCAACTATGCATGGCCCAATTTGCCTAATAAGCCAAGTTTTCATGAATTAATGTTTTTTCGACTACCTAACCTAACCTAACCTAACCTAACCTAACCTAACCTAGGTAGCAGAAAAAGTTTGGTTAGGTTAGGTTAGGTATATATATATATATATATATATATATATATATATATATATATATATATATATATATATATATATATATATATATATATATAGTATATATATATATATATATATATAAATAAAGCAAATAATATATAAATTATAAAGCAAGTAATATATAAATTATAAAGCTAATAATATATATATTATAAAGCAAATAATATATATATTATAAAGCAAATAATATATATATTATAAAGCAAATAATATATATATAAAGCAAATAATAATATATATTATAAAGCAAATAATAATATATTTAATATCCATAAAATATCACTATATATAATTTTGCCCGACTTATAATACATAACTAGATGCTTTGATATGGATGGAAACAAAATTTGACGAAAAATAAAATGAGAATAGACAGTGATATAGTAATGGAGAAACTAAATAAATATGATAAACAATGCCATAGGAGGCAGACTATAAATTATAATGTAAGAAGCTAACCATGATTGGTTTAGTAACTTGGTGGGTTGTCTTAGTAACGACTGATGAGGGAGTGTCCTGCTTGGTCCCTTGTATCCGGCCCGACTCTTCAGTGATAACTGCTGAAGAAGGGTCCTGCCTGATCTTAGATATCCTGACCGGCTGTGTGGTGATGACTGATGTAGAAGGGTCCAGCCTGATCCTTTATATCCCGACCGGCTGTGTGGTGATGCACACACTGGCGCCCCAAGGTCACAGGATCCTTTATGCAGTATCCTCGCTGCTTACTGGATAATTCTGCTGCTTACTGATAGTTTTCATGTTTTAATTGTGACATTCTTTGTCTGGGGTAATTATTTTCTTCCAGTTGTGATGTTGTTTAAAGCTTTAGTTTAAAAGTGTTGGACTTACTTTTGAAGCTTTAAATTAAATCTGAAGATGCTAATTTTTCTTAAGAAAACATTGAGATGTTTAAAATTTTTGTTTAGTTGACTGTCATCTTTGAAAGGTTCTGTGTAGTATAGACGAGACTTGAGACGCTTTTTATAGCGATTAGTTGATTTCTTTCTCTATTGTCTAATAATAGTAGGAATAAGAAAGTTAGAAGAAACCATGAGGAGGATTCGAACATGCACACTGGGTAATCCAAGGCACACGTCTTAAATAGCTGAACCACAATTTGCTAAAAATTAATGCACCCGGGTACTCGAATCTTGAGGCTTCAACTGAACCCAAGTCAGCGTTTCACGCATTAACAGTCTACACTCTGACTGATTTAGGAGCTTTACACCCAACACATCTCCTCAAATGAAAACAATATAATAAAAATTAACATTACCGTGATATATCAATAAGGAAATAAGAAAAAAATTATCTTCTCATGGATACATCACGTTAATAGGATTTATTTATGCAATAAATAAATCTCTGTCTGACAGAGATGTCTGTCTGGAACCAGCAGAGATCTCTGTCTGTCTGGATCTCTGTGGGCTTCCTTCCTTTAAGACCGGAAGCCGGCAGAAGAAAGAGTAATAATTAGTTATTACAACAATTCTTATTATAATTTTAATAATAATAATAATAAAACTAATAAATAATTATTCTGACAAAGTATATGGTGACAGTCTTAATTAAAACCTCTCTAAACCTGTTTCAGATAATAGCCGCTGCTAGAAGAAAGTGTTTGATGAGTTCAGATATATTTTGTCAAATATGTGGAAGCTTCTCTGCACACAGCCAAAGGATGAATATTAGCGATTTTGTGAAGAAAGCTTCTATTGATAATTACTTATTTGTGAAGAAAGTTTATTTGTCTTACTCTGAAGTTAGACTTCAAGACCAGGACAAATCAAGGGCTTCAAGTATGTAATCCCATTGTTGAAAATTTTTGAGAGTGGAGCAATGGAAAGTGACTAAAACTGACATTTGGCATTCCAATGGTACTGCTATTTTTGCCTGGTCAAGACTTCGGGTTACAATAGGAAGAACTAGCAAAGACTCGTGTGCCCAAGCCTGGATTCAGCAGTTCGTCCAGTGGCGTAATTAGATGAAAGATCTGTTTCAGTTTTTAAACAATTTCCTTCACTTAAGGACGAGGATTTTGCTCTTGTGATTATATATACACACGTAAGTGCAAACTAAAGATGATTAAGATGGTTATGGTAATTGTTGTCTAATGAGATGGTTAGGCTGCAATTTTGGGAAGGAAGTGATTGATGTTCATGAAGGTGGTAGGGAAGGTAGTTTATTGCCTTAACCCATCGCCTATTTTGGTCTTATTTTGTTATTACATTACCTTATTCTCGAGTAAAATTGTGATTTTCTCGTCCCACATTCAGCATTGACATTTTAGCAGAAGTATTTCTTTATAGAAGAACTTCATAATCATAAAAAAGATGAACTTTATAATCTTCTGTTATAGTTCAACTTTACTTAGGTAATTCTTGGAGGCTTTAAGTGCCATTGGGTACCTTTGCGTCGTTTTGTGCAGCTTTGGGTGGCTTTACATAGCTTTGCGTGGCTAAGTAGCGTTGTGTGGATTTGGGTGGGTTCCTGTTTGGTTGGATTTGGGTAATTTTAGGAACCTCTCTGAAAGTCTCGTTTCTTCCCGAGTGGACTACGTTGCCAGCGAGATGTAAGGTCCCTTTGGTGGATGATCCACCCCGGACAGGCAACCCATCAGTTAGCTAACCCTCTTGGGTGACCCACTATGGTGATTGACCTAGCCTGGTGGTTAGCCCACTCAAGTGATTGACCCACTCTGGTGGTTGGCCCATCCTCGTGGTTAGCCCAACCTGGTGGTTGACCAACCCAGGCGCTCAAGGGAAGTCACTGAGTGACTTGCTAACTACCACAAATAATTAATTTAAAAAGTTAGAGAAAAATTTTCATAACATATTCTATTGTTTCCTCTATATAATAAATATCTTGTTCTCTTTATATATTTCAGCATATAAACATTGACACGAAATGAATGTTCAAAATACTTGTATTTTCGTTATTAACACACATTAAACACATTTCGTTATTAACACACAAAATATATGTATTTTCTGTTCAACAACTTAAGATACTTATGATGAGTTGAATGGAATTTATTTTGCATTTAAACATACCGTTCCAAGGGGGAAAATAAATTTCAGGTGATACTGCTCATTTTTTTTTAATAAATATGTAGTGAATAATTCAGTTAATATTTTACATAGTTGTCCATTACGCGAGGTACAGATCGGGCGAAGGGCATTCTGTAATGTTTCAGCTGTAGCCGGTACAGTGAATAATTCACATTCACTGATGTTGCCTTCATATCCAGGTATGTATTCTCTGTGCCCACCGTGTCAGTCCACCGTGTCAACCCATCATGTCAGCCCAAAACACCAGGGGCGGAGACCAGTGCTGACGAAGGAAGAAGAAACACTCCAGAAGGACTCACCAGGGCAAGGAACACACCGCCTCCATTTCCAATAATGTTGCCCGGAACACCGAAAGAGCCATCGAGGTTATTATTGAAGCCATTAAAGCCATTAAAGGTGTCAAAGTCACCAAAAGTGCCACGAAGGCCACCTAAGGGGCCAATAAAGCCTTCAGAGGCCAGAAAGTCACCTGGTAACTGACCATTATTGTTGAAGGAATTATCAAAGAAACCTTCATTGCCATTAAAGAAATTTACAGGAAAATTGGCAAAATTATTGAATGGATTTTCAGAGCCTCTTAAACCAGGTCTGGGTAGAGAACCGCTACTAAGTGGGCCACCGAAGGAGCTGCCAAATGCTCCTGCCGTGCCTCGAAATCCGCCTAAGGATCCAAATCGACCGTCCGAGGAGGCATCGAATCCTCCTGGCAAACGACCATTAACACCAAAGGAGTTGTCGAAGGAATCATCGCTGGTGCCGAATGAGCTAAAGGGATCTCTCCCGAAGCCATTGTTGAAAGGGAAAGGGTTAACTATGCCCCTTTCACCATCATTGCTAAAAGACCCAGAGCCGATGCCCTCGTCGTCAGAACTGCCAGAGGCGCTTTCGGACCCCCGAAAGCCGCCGAAGGAGCCGGCTGCACTATCTGCGAAGTCCCTGAAGGTACCTGACGAACCACTATTAACACCAAATGAATTATCGAAGGAATGGTCATTGCTGCCGATAGCGTTAGCAGAACCACTATCGAATACATTGGTAAATGAGTTATCAGATCCTCCTACACCAGGACTAGAGAAAGTGCCACGAGCGCTATTGGAAAAATCTCCGAAAGAGGTTTCACTGGAGGGCCCAGTAAGATCGTCCGTAACCCCTGGTGGGCCGCCGTTAAAGCTGAATGAGCTACCTGGAGAGTTACCAAATCCCCTGCTGAACGAATTACTGGTATCCTGTACACCACCATTGCCGGAAAAGCCACGACCTCCGTTAGAAAAACCGTTCTCTGTGGTTTCCCTAAAAGGCCCAGAAGAAGCTCCTCGAGGAAAACCGGATTCATCTTGGAATGCAAATTGACTTTCGCGACCATCACGGCGTCCGTCAGGGGATCTTGCTGCTGTAGCAACACCAAAGCGTGTGGAGCCGTCCACTGCCTCGCACGACCCCACCAGGAGCGCCCCGAACACCACAAGCAGTTCCAGCACCTGCCAACACATAAGTTAAAAATATGTTAAAAACAAATCTGAAAATTTATAATATTTATACTGTTAAACTGATAACAATAATTAATGTTATTCTTCGTTAATGTTAATTAATGTTATAATTCTGTTATTCTAATTCCATAATTCAACCTCTGGAGGGTTATTATGGCCACACGTGTTCACTGACCAACCAACGAGTATACTTTAACACTGAATATTGTCCAGGACTAAATTAAAGTCTCAAGTTTATGCAAGCCGAATAATATGATACTTTATGTGGTAGATAATTAATGTGGATATGTGTTATATAATTAATATGAATGTGTTGTATAATTACAAGATTTATTTTTCAAATATTGGAAATACCAACAGATAAAATTTAGACTTTTTAATCGTTATTTTTGTAATATTATTAATAATAATAATAATAATGAGAAAATACACTAAGGCTATGAAGTGGACGCGAACTAACCATATATATGTCGCAAGTGGAAGACACTCGCCTGGCGTTCCGCGAATGGGTTCGTATCCTGGCCGGGGAGGATACACTAAGGCTATGAAGTGGACGCGAACTTACGACCATATATATCACGTTAATGCTTTATTAATTGCTAATATTATTTCATTCTTGTTATTGTTATTATTATAATTATTATTATTATTATTATTATTTTGTTTTTCTTATTATAATAACAAATATAACTCCATTAGAAGTCAAAATTTGTGTCTGTTGGCATTTCCAACACTTGAAAAATAAATCTTGTTATTGTCTTCCACACATCTCATCAATTCATCGTATATGTTGACCATTACAGACTTGCACTAAATGCGCCAATGATCTCTTAAAGCGAAAAATATTAATTACAAAGAAATTTAAAAATAATTGAAAAAATGTGAATAAAGATAACTGAGTAACTAACAAATACACAGCTCTTTATGGACAAATGCGCCATATTTGTGTTCAATTCGTGTATAGAACCATTAACTTAGAAAATAAATACCCAACTGACCATGATAGTTGTAGCACGAGAGGGGAGACCGAACTGATGTAGGCGAGTCCTGTCTTTCCTCTTATATCCTGTCCGCTCCGTGAAGCATGTTGGTCATGCCTCCAGGCGCCACAAGGTCTCGGACGGACTCCTTTGTGAGAAGGTCCAGTTGTTCTCTAATTATGTTCTTGACCAATAATTACGCGAGTAATTTTGACGTTCTATGTGTGTGTGTGTGTGTGTGTGTGTGTGTGTACTCACCTAGTTATACTCACCTAGTTGTGCTTGCGGAGGTTGAGCTCTGGCTCTTTGGTCCCGCCTCTCAACCGTCAATCAACAGGTGTACAGGTTCCTGAGCCTACTGGGCTCTATCATATCTACATTTGAAACTGTGTATGGAGTCAGCCTCCACCACATTACTTCCTAATGCATTCCATTTGTGTGTGTGTGTGTGTGTGTGTGTGTGTGTGTGTGTGTGTGTGTGTGTGTGTGTGTGTGTGTGTGTGTGTGTGTGTGTGTGTGTGTGTGTGTGTGTGTTTGTGTGTGTGTGTGTGTGTTTGTAATTTCCCGAGCACGTTGCAGGATATACCGGGATATTACAGGGCTATTGTGGTTGATTTGTTTGGTGAATCGTGTTGGTAGTTATCGTGATTCATTGTGGTTGTTGAGGTTCTCAGGGTGAAGGAGGATGGTTTTAGTTGATTGTGGCGTTTATGTGCAACGTATCAACTACAGATGTTTCAACTGGTTGTTTGGAGTTGTTGTTCAATCATTTATAGCAAAGTTATGGTTGCTGAAGCTACTTGGGAGATGATGAGTTCTGTGTTATTCTTGTTAGCTGTTTAATGGCGTTGCTGTTACTGGCAATGATACAAAAAAAATTACTGAAAATGTTTGTGGTTTCGGAGTTTTCCGGTTATGATAAATTGGTTTACTGATTTACTAGTAATGATAAATTGTTGGTATACTGGTGATGATAGTTTCAAGTATGAAACGTCGGAGGTATCTAGGTATGATAGGCAAGTCGGAGTCGGCCCAAATGCCATGATGTACGAAATACCGGCATCTTAAGTGGTATCTCCTTCGATTTTCATGAAGTCATAAACAAAATCTGGATTTGTGAAAACAGTGGATTTAAACCATTAATATTGCCGTTTACCAAGGTGATTTTTTGGAGGGGGAGACAGTAGGGGATGAGGGATGGGAGAGAAGGGAAAGAATGGGCGGAAGAGGAAAAAGGGTGAAGGGAAAGAGAAGGAGAAAGAGAGGGTGTATTTAAGAGAGGGAAGAGTGGAGGAAGGGAAGTGGAGAGGATAGGATAAAGGTAGAGCTGAGATGTGGAGGATAGGAATGAGTGGGGATGTTGGGGGAGATAAGGTGAGGACAAGATGGATAGGGTGGGAGAGGGAGAAGATTTGGAGAGAGGGTAGAGAGCGAATGAAAAGGGAGGAGAGGAGTGAGAAGTGGAGTGAAAGAAGAGGGAGAAGATTAAGAGAGAGGATAGAGAGGGGGACATGACTAGTAGAGACAGAAGAGAATGAACGTAGATTTTTGAAGTGACAGTAGACGGCAAGTGATAGATGCTGAGAGAGAATGGAGGGGAGGAAGACGTAGGAAGAAAAGGGGAAAACAGGGAGAGAGAGAGAGAGAGAGAGAAAGAGAGAGAGAGAGAGAGAGAGAGAGAGAGAGAGAGAGAGAGAGAGAGAGAGAGAGAGAGAGAGAGAGAGAGAGAGAGAGAGAGAGATAACAGTGAAAGATTATTAAAAAAAATAAAGATAATAAAAAAAGGACTACCTAAGCCCGTGCAGGCGATGAGATCACTTATAGCCTTGATGGCTACATAGCTGACTTGTTATTGTAAGAAAAATTGGTGTGTAGTCAGCAAGGATCTTTTATTTAACACAATTTAAGACAACACAATTTATTTTCTGTTGATGCGACAGTTACTTCATTTGCTTAAATAATGATTTACTTCTTGGATTTTAGTTGTGACTAGTTTAAACGTCCAGGAAATGTGTGAATTACGCTTCTTATGCCGCAAACAAATGAGGAAATATTAAAATGAACAATTTGATCGATATTTTACTCTGAACTTGATCATTAACCACAAAACATGCGCTTCAGACACCTCTGTATCACTAGAATCAACAGCCTCTATATACTTGGATCAAGTTCTATGTAATTGCCTTGGGACTTGCTGAGAAATCCTTGAAATGTGACCATGAGCCGGTCGGCCGAGCGGACAGCACGCGGGACTTGTGATCCTGTGGTCCTGGGTTCGATCCCAGGCGCCGGCGATAAACAATGGGCAGAGTTTCTTTCACCCTATGCCCCTGTTACCTAGCAGTAAAATAGGTACCTGGGTGTTAGTCAGCTGTTATGGGCTGCTTCCTGGGGGTGGAGGCCTGGTCGAGGACCGGGCCGCGGGGACACTAAAAGCCCCGAAATCATCTCAAGATAACCTCAAGATGAGCTCATCCGTGATGGTTCCAGTTCCGCCGAAGTTGTTTCTATATACCTTTATTTTTATCTGTGTATAGCTTATATCATCCTTTTGGCCCGACAGGTAATATATATAGATACATTTCTAAGATCAGAATATATTACTTAATGAGAATGTCCTCACTGTTAAAGCACTCTCGCTTCACAAATAAAAGAACTCGGGCTCTATTTCCGGTGCAAGACGGAAGTGTTTGGGCACTTTTCGTTTCACCTGATGCCTCTGTTCACCCAGCAGTAGAGAGATACACGGAAGTAAGGTAATTATTGTGGGCTTCATTCTGGAAAAGGTTACTAGTTGGCCTAAAGAGTCCTCGATAACACTAACAATCTTTCTGTCCCTGACAATTAGAAAACTTGCTTTCTCACATCTATGTTCTGTACGTGATCACAGCACCTGTCACCTCTGTGTTACGTCCGTGATCACAGCACCTGTCACCTCTGTGTTACGTCCGTGATCACAGCACCTGTCACCTCTGTGTCCTGTACGTGATCACAGCACCAGTCACCTCTGTGTCCTGTACGTGATCACAGCACCTGTCACCTCTGTGTCCTGTACGTGTTCACAGCACCTGTCACCTCTGTGTCCTGTACGTGATCACAGCACCTGTCACATCTGTGTTCTGTACGTGATCACAGCACCTGTCAACTCTGTGTTACGTCCGTGATCACAGCACCTGTCACCTCTGTGTCCTGTACGTGTTCACAGCACCTGTCAACTCTGTGTTACGTCCGTGATCACAGCACCTGTCACATCTGTGTCCTGTACGTGATCACAGCACCTGTCACATCTGTGTCCTGTACGTGATCACAGCACCTGTCAACTCTGTGTTACGTCCGTGATCACAGCACCAGTCACCTCTGTGTTACGTCCGTGATCACAGCACCTGTCACCTCTGTGTTACGTCCGTGATCACAGCACCAGTCACCTCTGTGTTACGTCCGTGATCGCAGCACCAGTCACCTCTGTGTTACGTCCGTGATCACAGCACCTGTCACCTCTGTGTTACGTCCGTGATCACAGCACCAGTCACCTCTGTGTTACGTCCGTGATCACAGCACCTGTCACCTCTGTGTTACGTCCGTGATCACAGCACCAGTCACCTCTGTGTTACGTCCGTGATCGCAGCACCAGTCACCTCTGTGTTACGTCCGTGATCACAGCACCTGTCACCTCTGTGTTACGTCCGTGATCGCAGCACCAGTCACCTCTGTGTTACGTCCGTGATCACAGCACCTGTCACCTCTGTGTTACGTCCGTGATCACAGCACCAGTCACCTCTGTGTTACGTCCGTGATCACAGCACCAGTCACCTCTGTGTTACGTCCGTGATCACAGCACCAGTCACCTCTGTGTTACGTCCGTGATCACAGCACCTGTCACCTCTGTGTTTTCTTCTAATGTTATCATTAGTGTCCATTCAACTCTTCACGTTTCCATTCACCATTACTGAAAACTAAAATAATCCAATGGAATAGATAATGTTTTCAGGGATATTCCTGCGCGGATTCCCTAATCATAGAATTTGATTTATTTTTATTTTTATTTAATCACTTAGTGTGAATTGCATTGGAATTAAGCTGTGTTGTTTACCATTCTGTTCATTTCGTGAGTATAGTTTATTTTTTTATTTTTTCATATTTTCAATTATTTTTTAACTGTTTTTCTTATATATCAGTGATGGGAACATCAGACCATTTGGGAAGGCATCGGACGAGGGAGTGGGGAATGGTGGGGAGGACGAGGGGACGGAAGTGAGAGATGGTGGGGAGGACGAGGGGACGAGGGAGGGGTTAATGGTGGGGAAGGAGGAGGGGACGGGGGAGTTTTGGGATGGTGGGGACGAGGGGATGGGGGAATGGAGAATGGTGGGGAGGACAAAGGGACAGGGGTAGTGGAGCGTGGTGTCAAGGAAGAGGGGATGGTGGAGTGGGGAATGGTGGGGAGGCCGAGGAGTCGGGTGAGGGGGAAATGGTTTGGAGGACTGGGGGACAGGGAAGGTTGCTGTGGCCGGGTACTGCTAGTTCTAATATAAGTTTGTTATCGGTTCATATTTGTAATGCTGATATCACATTGTTATGTTGTACCCGATATCACATTGTTATGTGGTACCTAATATCACAATGATATTACCTGATATCACATTGTTATGTGGTTCATGAGGACACATTGTTGTGTGGTACCTGATATCACATTGTTGTCTGGTACATGATACCACATTGTTATGTGATACCTGATACCACAATGATATCATCTGATATCACATTGTTATGTGGTTCCTGATATCACATTGTTGTGTGGTACCTGATATCGCATTGTTATGTGGTACCCGATATCACATTGTTCCTCTTTATTGGTGGAGGTCCACGACTGGATAGCGTAAGAGTTATTGAGGTATGCTGAACACAACGATTTAACGCTGTTTTAAAAGCCTACATAATTACAACTGAGAAGTAGATATAGAAATGATTGGAAATGAACTTGCTTTAACAAGACGACAACTTGGAATCTTATAAAAGGTATTGGATGTTGAACTAGGCCGCATTATTTG